CATCCTGGTGAACAGGATGAAACCCCACCTCTACTTAGAATACAAAAATTAGCCAAGTGTGGGGGCGGACACCTGTAGTACCAGCTACTTGGGAGGCTGAGGCAGGAGAATCACTTGAACCTGGGAGATGGAGGTTGCAGTGAGCCGAGATTGTGCCACTGCACTCCAGCCTGGGTGACAGAGCAAAACTCCATCTCAAAAAAATAATAATAAAGTGAAAACCCTTTGACTCAGCAATTATACTTCTACTGGTTTATCCAAAGGAAACAAATAAATAAAGCACATAATGTAGACATCAGGATGTCTGGCTATTCATAATGGCAAAAAAATTAGCAATGATAGGAGATTAGAAAGAAATTGCATAATCAACCACCTGTAATCCCAGCACTTTGGGAGGCTGAGGTGGGCAAATCATCTGAGGTCAGAAGTTCAAGACCAGCCTGGCCAAAATGGGGAAACCTCGTCTCTACCAAAAATACAAAAATTAGCCTGGTGTGGCAGCATGTGCCTGTAGTACCAGCTACTCAAGAGGCTGAGACAAGAGAGTCACTTGAACCCAGAAGGCAGCGGTTGCTGTGAGATCTCACCATTGGCAACAAGAGCAAAAACTGTCTAAAAAAGAAAAGAAATTACATAATGAGAGTAAGTAAGGTAAGAGCCTGGCATGGTGGCTCACACCTGTAATCCTAGCACTTTGAGAGGCCGAGGCTGGTGGATCATGAGGTCAGGAGTTCAAGACCAGCCTGGCCAATATGGTAAAACCTCGTCTCTTTTCTTTTATTTTGAGAGGGGGTTTCTCCATGTTAGCCAGGCTGGTCTCAAACTCCTATCTCAGATGATCCGCCCATCTCGGCCTACCAAAGTGCTGGGATTACAGGCGTGAGCCACCGTGCCCGGACTGAAACCCCATCTCTACTAAAAGATACAAAAATTAGCTGGGTGTGATGGCACACCTGTAGTCTCAGCTACTCAGGAGGCCGAGGCAGGAGAATCACTTGAACCCGGGAGGCAGAGGTTGCAGTGAGCCAAGAGATTGTACCACTCCAGCCTGGGACAGAGCGAGACTCCATCTCAAAAAAAAGAAAAGTATAAGTTAGGTAGCCCTGTGACTCTAACCGTGTCAGTGAAACCAGGTCTGCCTTCCTTCTTCACTGCCGTCTCCCCCAAACCGAGGCATTGCATGGTAGGTCAACATGATCAACTAACAGTATACACTGCCATTAACACTCAATATATTACTAAGCAGAAAGCAATTTAAAGAACATGAGCCTATTTTTAAAATGGATATAAAATTATACATCTGGTCCACATCTGCATGCATGGAGCCTCTCCTAAACTGCCTTTTTTTAGGTGTGGGTTGGTGGGAGGTTCCTCTTCCCATTCTTATGTTAAAGGGAAACACACTATTAATGTAACTAATTACAGTAACAATATAGGAGTACTGTCCCTTTGTAAAGAATCCAAAAAAATTTAGGCATAAGAAAAAAGAAAAAAACAAAAACAAAAATTTAGGCAGGGAGCCGTGGTTCCACCTGTAGTCCCAGCACTTTGGAATTTTTGGTGTAGTTTTTATTTTCCAGGATCTAAAATTAATTTTCGGCTGGGCGCAGTGGCTCAAGCCTGTAATCCCAGCACTTTGGGAGGCCGAGGCGGGTGGATCACGAGGTCGAGAGATCGAGACCATCCCGGTCAACATAGTGAAACCCCGTCTCTACTAAAAATACAAAAAATTAGCTGGGCATGGTGGCACGTGCCTGTAATCCCAGCTACTCGGGAGGCTGAGGCAGGAGAATTGTCTGAACCCAGGAGGCGGAGGTTGCGGTGAGCCGAGATCGCGCCATTGCACTCCAGCCTGGGTAACAAGAGCGAAACTCTGTCTCAAAAAAAAAAAAAAAAAAAAAATTAATTTTCAACTCTCCATAAGTCTGTTATACTTGATTAAAATACTTATTCAGAGGCCAGGCGCAGTGGCTCATGCTGGTAATCCCAGCACTTTGGGAGGCCAAGGTGGGCGGATCATCTTAGATAGGAGTTTGAGACCAGCCTGGCTAACATGGTGAAACCCCGTCTCTACTAAAAAAAAAAAATACAAAAATTAGCTGGGCGTGGTGGCACACGCCTGTAATACCAGCTACTCAGGAGGCTGAGGCAGAAGAATGGCTTGAACCCGGGAGGCGGAGGTTGCAGTAAGCCAAGATCGCACTACTGCATTCCAGCCTGGGCGTCAGATTGAGGGTCTGTCTCAAAAAAAAAAAACCACAAAAAAACAAACTTGTTCAATATCATTTATTAGTGGCAGCATTAAACTTGGTTGATATTACAGTTTCCTGTCTCAGCAGCATGAAAAAAAAAGAAAGAAATAAAATAAAGATATTACAGTTTCCAAAGACTATTCGTTGAAAAAGAGAAAAGCGACAGTTTTAAAGTGGAGGCTCTGACTTCTTTTCAAAGGGAGTGCATTTCATTTTTGGAAAGATGCCAGCTTAACAGCAGTGGCAGCTAGTTACCTGGAGCAAAGCAGCACATATTCCACAGGACTAGGTGGGACCTCTGGGTGGACTCATTTTAGCCATATACGTAATTCAGCCATTCCACACTCAGCTCATTTCATGTTCTTCTCTAACAGAAAGTGAAGTATTTTGGGCTAGTGAGAGTGGATCAAAATCTAATCAGTTACTCTGAAAACATCCTTTTGGAAGCTGTCTTTTCTTTCTGGAATCTCAAACTGCTGCTCTACAGGAACAGAAACTTGTTAAATACAGTGGCTTCAGGCGCCACTCTAATAAACTACCTACATCTTAATTAAGCAGGAGAGCTCTGCTGGCCACTGCAGATTTCCTCCATCACAAGGTACAAGGCTGGTGCCCTAGCAGGAGAACCTGGCAGCCAAAGGGCACAGTGAAGGGGACAGAGGGAGATTCAACAAGACAGAGCCATCTATTTCACGGTCAGCTTCCACAGAGGCTGCTCCAGCATGCAACTCACCCGTTTCCGAACAGAAAGAAAAATTTTCAAAGACCATCTCACTAAAAACAGTAAGTAAAAGTCACTGAGCATAAATTCATGTTTTAAAAAAATTATCCTTCTTGGCTTAAAATACGTGTGAGACAAAAAAAAAAAAAAAAAAAAAAAGGCCAACTTGTTTAAAATTCTCGAGAAAGACAAATTTATATAAAGAGTGGCTTAATTTAAGAATGCTTCCCCCTTGTGTTACTCTCAAAGGAAGTCTCTGCTGGGCGTGGTGGCTTACGCCTGTAATCCCAACACTTTGGGAAGCCAAGGAGGGTGGATCACTTGAAGTCAGGATACCAGCCTGGCCAACATGGCAAAACCCGTCTTCTAGACAACAGCCTGGCCAACGTGGTGAAACCTCGTTTCTACCAAAAATACAAAAAAAAAAATTAGCCAGGTGTGGTGGCAGGCGCCTGTAATTCCAGTTACTCAGGAGGCTGAGACAGGAGAATCACTTGAACCCAGGAGGCAGAGGTTGCAGTGAGCCTAGAGATCACACCACTGCACTCCAGCCTGGGTGACAAAGAAAGACTCTCTCTCTCAAAAAAGAAAAAAAAAAAAAGTATCAATGGAGACATGAAGGGAAGGGTTGCAAAGGAATGATCTGAAAGGAATGAATGAGAAACTCTTCCTATCTATGAAGACCTACCAAAGTTTTTGGTTAAGAGAAAGTAACCGGTGACTGCCCACAATACAAGTACAAAAAAGCTCAGGGACGCTTTCATCAGTCATCATCTAAGTTTCTCAACCATTGTTTGTTGTAAGGAATATATTCAGGTAGGAATCCAAGCTGCAACTAACACTACTCAGGTCAAGATAATCATCCAGGATCAACTATTTTAGGCAAAATATACCACACTCAAAAATTGCTGTGCCAGGCCCATGAGGGCCTCAAATTACGACTCCAAACATCTGGAAGACTCCAAAAGGACCCCAAGCCACCGGCTGTGATAAAGGAAAAAATAAAATTACCAATACTCAGAAACAGATTACCTTCTATTCTCGGTGGGTGTTGGCGGGGGAGGTGGCGAGGGCCACGGAGGTGAAAATCATCTCCCTTTCTAGCCTCAGAACTCAACCTCCTAAAAACGCATTGTCTCCACTGGAAAAAAAATTAAGGTGCCTGACTATCGACCTAAGGCAGCTTTCTTTTCTTTTCTTTTTTTTCTTCTTCTTTTTGTAGAGAGAGGGTTTCACCATGTTGACCAGGATGGTCTCGATCTCTTGATCTGGTGATCCACCCGCCTCGGCTTCCCAAAGTGCTGGGATTATAGGCATGAGCCACCGCGCCCAGCCTAAGGCAGCTTTCAAAACAAGGAACACCTAACGATTCTTCGGTCTCCGGCGTTGGAATCATCCACCAGTCGGCGAGAAGTGCCTTAACACATCTTCCAGACCTCATATTCGTCCGGGTCCCCGGCTTGGCCACGGCACGTGTGGCCGCCAGCATCGCCGTCCCCAGCACCCTCCAGGCCTTGCTGGTGTCCAACGCCCGCAGCCCTTTCTGCCCGTCCGGACGACCTCCCGCGCTGCCCTGAGGAACCCCGGGCACACGCCAGCATCGGGGATCCTGCCCTGGGCTCCGAGGAGCTGCGCTTCGGGAAAGGCCCCGGGAGAAGGTGGGGGGTGCCGCGCCACCGCGTCCAGGCAGGACCGCAGCCGAGCCACACTCGCCAGCCTCTGATTGTTCAGAATGGGAAAAGGCTGGGGACGCCGCGGGGAGGAGGATGGGCGGGGGGGGGGGGGGGTGGCGCGACTGCACGGGGCACAGCCGCCCTCGGGGCTGCGGTCAGGATGGGGTTGAGGAAGGCCCGACCGCCCCCCCGGCCCTGCCCACCGGCCCCCGACGCCGGGACTTCCTCCTCCCCGGCGCCGGCGCCGCAGCCCGGGGAGGGCCGGTAACCGCGGCGAGAGGCCGGGGCCGCGCCCGGCGCAGAGGCCGAGGGGACTGCGGGCGGCGGGGCACGCGGCTGGGCCCGGGGACTCACCCGCCGGCGAAGAGGTGAAGCAGCGTGTTCTCCTTCTGCCGGCCGTCCGTCGCCATGGCCGCGCCGGCTCCGCGGCCCGCCGCCGCCCGGTGCCCACAGCGCGTGGCTGCTCGAGGGATGCGCGAGGTCGCCGAGTCGGGTCTCCTAGCTGCCCTCAGGGGGCCGCCAGCGCCGCCTCCATGCACGCGCTGGCCCCAACGCCCAGCTCCGCCCGGCCAGCGACCTCCGCGGCGTGGCCGCCGGCGCCTCACCGGCCTCTGCGGCTCGAGCCAGGCGGGGAGCGAGAGCCAGGCGCGCGGCCGTCACGTGGCGGGGGCCGTGCCGTGATGTCACGCGGTGCTTGAGTCGGGGGGCGGGGCGTAACGGGGGTGTGGGCCCAAATCCCAAGCGCCCATTGGCTACGGGGCGGATGTGGGCGGGAAGATCGCACTGTTCTGGGGCGGAGCCAGGACTTAGCGGATGGCTGCGGAGAGGGGTGGCATAGGCCGGAGCGTGGAGGCAGTGGAAACTGGCTGTGACTGCCTGGTCCTCGCTCCTCAGAGAAGCCTCGCAAGGCCTTAGGCGTTGCCTTATTTTAAAAGTTTACTTTGTGATATTTACGTGTGCAAAAAGGTGTTCAGATTACGTGTTACATCTCACATCTCTGTACTTACCACCCAGTTTAGGGGAACCCCCCAAAATCTAAACAGTCTCAAATAATTAGTGAGGCCCTGCAAGGTGGCTGCCGAGGCGGGCGGTGGGGCGGGTGGATTGCCTTAGGCCAGGAATTAGAGACTAGCCTGGGGCCAAGATAGAGAAACCATGTCTCTACTAAAAACACAAAAGTTACATGGCCTCAGCGGCCTACCCCTGTAATCCCAGCTACTTGGGTGGCTGAGGCTGGGGAATGGCTTCAGCTCAGAAGGCAGAAGCTGCAGTGAGCCAAGAGTGTGTCACTGCACTCCAGCCTGGGCGACAGAGCAAGACTCTGTCTCAAATAATTAATAATCATTATCATTACGTGTATTTTTGATGTCCCTTTAAGTAGTATTATATGCTGCGTATATTTCACAGCATGCTTTTTGCTTCTTTTCTGATCATCTCCAGCCCAGACCTAGATATCCAAATTGCTTCTCTAAGGCTATGTCTCCCGGCCACTGTCAAACTCAGCCTGACCTCTAATCTCCAGGTCTCCCCAAGATGGAGCCTTCTGCAGGGCAGTCTGGCCGCCTCTGCAGGGCAGTCTGTCGCAGGACTATTGAACCAGGCTCCTGCGGTTCGTTTGTTGATTTCTGTAAGTTGTCCTTCCCACACAGGAATGTAAGCTTCAGGAGAGCAGGGACCTTGCTTCTTTTGTTCATCGTTGTTCCTGACATGGTAGCTGCCACCTAGTAAAGCCCAAGGAACTAATGAATAAAGGTCCCAAATTGAACTTATCCTTCTTCCCCTCCCCCAAGCCTGCTCTCCTTCTCCTGTTTCCTGTCCTGGCAGTGACGTCACCAACTGCACAGGCGCCAGTGCCAGAAACCTTCCTGTTACCTTGGACTCTACCTCCCTGTCTCTCTCTCAGCAGCCCATCATTCACCTGTAGAACTTACTAACCCTTTCTCTTCTGTCTCTCAGAGCTGCTGAAAGCTGTACCTTGACCAGAACAAGCAGTTAGATGTCCTGTGTGTAAACATAGAGAGCTTAAGTAGGAGGGAATTGTGTGGAAACATGGGAGCTAGCAAGCCAATCTGTATTTGATTGCTGGGACTCTTTAAATAAAAACAGCTCTTAGGAGCAGTCCTCCAAAATGCAAATACAGTGATTACTTTATTAAAGCCATTGCTCCTAGGCCTAGGAGAAGGGAAAGCCATACTAGGGAATGAGATATCTGATATCTGACAAAAAGAAGGAAAGAGACTTGGCCTTAGCGGCTCACGCCTGTCACCCCAGCACTTTGGGAGGCTGAGAAGAGCGGATTGCTTGAGTCCAGGAGCTCAAGAGCAGCCTGGACAACGTGGCAAAACCCCATCTCTACAATAGAAAAAAAAAAGTAGCTGGACACAGTGGCTCACACCTGTAATCCAGCACTTTGGGAGGCTGAGGCCAGCAGATCACCTGAGGTCAGGAGTTCAAAACCAGCCTGGCCAACATGGTGAAATCCCATCTCTACTACAAATAGAAAAATTAGCTGGGCATGGTGGTATGCACCTGTAGTCCCAAATACTTGGGAGGCTGAGGCAGGAGAATCACTTGAATTCAGGAGGCAGAGGTTGCAGTGAGCCAAGATTGTGCCACTGCTCTCCAGCCTGGGTGACAGAGTGAGACCCTGTCTCAAGAAAAAAAAAAAAAAAAAAAAGTGAAAATAAATAATTTTTTATTTTTCATATATTTTTTGGTATGGAGTCTCGCTTTGTTCCCTAGGCTGCAGTGCAGCGGTGTGATCTCGGCTCACCGCAACCTCCACCTCCTGGGCTCAAGCAATTCTGTCTCAGCCTCCCAGGTAGTTGGGATTACAGGCGCCCACCCCCGCACCTGGCTAATCTTTTATATTTTGAGTAGAGAAGTTGGTGGGTGGGGGGGGGGGGTTCACCATGTTGCCTGGGCTGGTCTCGAACTGCTGACCTCAAGTGATCTCCCTGCCTAGGCTTCCTAAAGTGCTAGGATTACAGGTGCGGGCCACTGCACTGGGCCTCTGGGCAGGATTTGAAGCCCTAGGAGGTACCATCCTTGGAGCATAGCCCTCTGTCTTGGCTCCTTGCTCACAGAGGTGTTTGAGCCTGGGACCCAAGCTCTTATCTCCAAGGTAGCACCTGGCCTCCTGCCTTCTTTTCCCAAGCGTTGTCCGTCCGGTGCTGTGTGCCGGAAACGATAGATATCCCCACCTCCTTGTCAGTAGCAGGGTTGTCTTTCTATTAGAATGTTCCTGGCTGGGTGCGGTGGCTCGTGCCTGTAATCCTAGCACTTTGGGAGGCTGAGGTGGGTGGATCACCTGAGGTCAGGAGTTCAAGACCAGCCTGGCCATCATGGTGAAACCCCATCTTAAAAAAAAGAAATTAAAAAAAAAAAAAAAAAAAAAAGAGTGTTCCTAAGGCGTTTCCTGTTTTGTTGTTTTCCTTGCCTTTTTGTTGATAAGCAGGATAGATTTGCCCAAGGTCACCCAGCTACATAGCGGCTGATGCAATGATCTGTCATGTCCTGAGCTTTTGAACCTGCTGGGTTTTGCAGTTGTTGTTCTTTTAAGAGGAGACCTCACTCTGTCACCTATGGTGGAGTGCAGAGGTGTGATCTTGGCTTACTGCAACCTCCGCCTCCCTGGTTCAATTGATTCTCCTGCCTCAGATTCCCGAATAGCTGGGATTACAGATGTATGCCACCATGTTTGGCTAATTTTTGTTTGTTTGTTTGTTTGTTTGTTTTGAGATGAGCTCTCACTCTGTCACCCAGGCTGGAGTACGGTGGCACGATCTCGGCTCACTGCAATCTCTGCCTCCTGTGTTCAAGTGATTCACCTGCCTCAGCCTCCCTGGTAGCTGGGATTACAGGCACATGCCACAACGCCCAGTCAATTTTTGTATTTTTAATAGAGACATGGTTTCGCCATGTTGTCCAGGCTGGTCTTGGACTCCTGACCTCAGGTAATTTGCCCACCTCTGCCTCCCAAAGTACTGGGATTATAGGCATGAGCCACCATGCCCGGCCTGAACCTGCTCTTTTTCCTGCCTAGGATGACCCCCTTCCTCTGCCGGCCAGACTTTAGAGCTTCTCTGATACCAGCTCAGGCAGTGGCCATGGCCATGTGCTGGGTATACAACAGAGATTTCAACAGATAAAACCTTTCATGAAACATTGGCAATCAAATCCAGCAATACAGAAAAAGGATAATACATCAGAACAAAATGAGAGATACCCAGGAATTAGAGGTTGGTTTAACATTCAAAAATCAATCCATATAATTCAGCGTATTAAGAGAATAACAGGGACGCATGTTCTCAGGACCTCCTGGGGCTATGTCAATGACAAAAGAAAAAAAAAAGAAAGAAAAAGAAAACAGCAGAAGAGAAAGAGAGAGAGCAAAATGGCAAAAAATCAGATGACCATGTCAATTGACGCAGAAAACCATTTGACAAAACTGAACACTTATTCATGAAAAAAAGCTCTCAGCTAACTAGGAACAGGAGGGAATTCCACTATCTGATATAAAGCAACTATGCCAAACCTACAGCTAACATCACACACAACGTTAAATAACTGACCATCTGCTCCGTAAGATTGGCAATAAGCAAAGACATTTGCTCTTACCACTTACTCAATGTTGTACTAGAGGCCCTAGTCCGTGCAGTAAGGCAAGAAAAAGAAAAACAAATATGAAAAGATCAGAAAGAAGTGAAACTGTCCAGAGGCACAGATGATGTAACTGTTTACTAGAAAATTCTAAGGAGTCTATAACAACTACTAGAACTAGTTAGCGAATTTAGCAAGATCACAAGAAATAAGGTCAATACACACAAAAAGGTTTTGGCTAGCTGCAAACAACTTTAATGTAATTTTTTTTTTGTTTTTTGTCACCCAGGCTGGAGTGCAGTGGCGCGATATTGGCTCACTGCAACCTCCGCCTCCTGAGTTCAAGTGATTCTCCCACCTCAGCCTCCCGAGTAGCTGGGACTACAGGCTCCCGGCACCATGCCTGGTTAATTTTTGTATTTTTAGTAGAGACAGGGTTTCGCCATACGAGCCAGGCTGGTCTTGAATTCCTGACCTCAAGTGATCTGCCTGCCTTGGTCTCCCACAATGTTGAGATTACAGACATGAGGTACTGCACCCAGCCCCCATCTCTATTTTAATATTTAAAACTTTTTTAAAAATTATTTTTGGGGGCTGGGTGTGGTGGCTCATGCCTGTAATCCCAGCACTTCGGGAGGCTGAGGCAGGCAGATCACCTGAGGTCAGGAGTTCAAGACCAGCCTGACCAACATGGAGAAATCCTTTCTCTACTAAAAATACAAAATTAACTGGGTGTGGTGACACATGCCTGTGATCCCATCTACTCTGGAGGCTGAGGCAGGAGAATCACTTGAACCCGGGAGGTGGAGGTTGCAATGAGCCGAGATCGCCCTCCAGATTGGGCAACAAGAGCGAAACTCTGTCTTAAAAAATACATATTTTTACATTCCTTCTTAGCCTTTGGCTAAGATCAAATGTAAAATTATTTTTATTTATTTACTTTTTTATATATTAGAAATTTTAAAACTTTTATTTATTTATTTTTTTGAGACGGAGTTTCACTCTTGTTACCCAGGCTGGAGTGCAATGGCGCGATCTCGGCTCACCGCAACCTCCGCC